TTCTAATGAATAAATCCTTCTGGCTACTGTTACATTCTGTAACTTTCCCATTTTCCACGTTTACCACAGTTTTACTGCACATATGCTACAGTGTCCAATTGATTCAAGATGGTTTCCTCTTCATGTTACTACTCTAGACTGAAGAAGGGCAATGATATATCTTTACAAATGGTTTTTACAGCACGTTCACTATAGTATACCACAGCGTTTCTCAATAATCATGTGGCGTACTGACCAAGGGTTATTTTCACAAGGGATGTCCCACCTGTGTTGTCTGAGATGGAATGACCAAGGTTGATTGTTCCGTTCGCAGGATTTGCCTGAAGACTGATCGCAGTGCTGGTAATATTGAATTAGGCTCTTCCCTGGTCACCAGCCTGAATCAAGGAGCTGCACCACAGAATCGCACGACTCCATTCAGGCACATTCAGCTGCTTTAATCCAGCGTCTCGTCTCTGTCTCTCAGCCTTTGTTACTTTCCCTCATCATTTATTTGTGTGCATTATAAATTTACAAGCACTGCCTGTCAACTCTAGTTGGGTGCCCTCTCCTATTTAGTTTCTCACGAGAGCAGAGCCTTTTACGTTGCAAAATGTCTTTGGATTCATAATTTTTTGCTCATCACTGGAACCTCATAGACCACACAGATAGATGCATTGGATCTGGGCAGAAACCTCCCAAGAGATGTACACCTCTATATCCCTCTTTCCAGCAGATACGTCTTCCAAGATGGACACTTTTAAAATACGCACAGCATAAACACCAGAGCGAGAAGTCAGGGGGGCAGCTGGACAGGCACAGGGGTCACTGACCTGCAGCACGTGGAGACATCTTCTGCAGGCAGCGAGTCGTCTTACCCTGCTGCTGCTTGAGCAATGGTGCGCTACAACATGGGGAATCCCAATTGGAGTCAGCTGATCTCCTACTGTGGCCTTTGCTATGGGTTAATCCACTCAGTTCCTGGTTCTAGTTCACATAAAGACTGCACAACTATGCTCTGAATGATGCACCTCTGTTGGGGGTCCTCCACCAAAGTCAAGGCAACAGGCCTGCTTAAAACGTCAGGGTTCGCTAGTCCCTTTGCTGCTCTTGGTGCCGCTCAGCCAGGCCTACGGTATGTCACCGCTTGGGAAGTGTTGGTCATGGTCCGCTGCTGAACGACCCAGGCTCGAACCCGTGATCATTGAGCCCAACCTGCGCCTTTACAGATTGCACCGCTAAGGGCAAACAAAGTGGAAACAGCAGCCCATCCTTCCTCTGCCCCCCCTCCACCCACCTCCCAGAGGCTATGTTATCTACAGGCACTTGTTCTGCAACGGCTTAGTCTCTGACATTTTGTCCTACATAGGATATCCATGCAGAAACTCATACAGACACCCACATACACACACACACTCTGGACTGGCTTATTACTACTGCCAGATTTCTGTCTTCCTCTGATTTCAGTCCAGCTCCAGCCAGGGCTGGGCATGCTGCTTGAGATTGTCTCTAAATCAGGACCACACCTGGCAACAATCCAGCTGTGTCAACTGCATCCCAGGGGCTCCCCCAGGGCCTGTCGGGTGCCGACGCCAGCGAGAGCCTGCCAGCTCCTTTGTAGAGCTCTGTGGCACTTGCAGCACCTCCGTTGGCCGAACAGCTTCATGGACAGTGCGAGAATCGTTGCAGTGTGCTGAGTTGATTAACAGTTGGTGTTTCCAAATTGGGTGGGCATAAAGCACCAAATAATTCAGTTGCGGATTCAGAAGAAGCTGGGTTTTCTCTAAAGCCAGGGTCTACTGACATTTGAAAACATGTAAAAGCATCTCAGGTAGTGCCAGGTGACATTGACACTGCCCTGATTCGTATTTAAAAACTCTAACTGTGTGGGTCTGATACCGTCTGCTGTGGCTTTCTCTGTTTCAGAACTGGGCAGGCATGCGGTGTCCATATAAGATGCTCAGGATGATCTTGGCCCTCGTGTGCAGTAAGTCCATTTTCACGTGTCAGCTTGCAAGAGTATGCATTGGCTTCTAATACATATCAAGCTTTGGAGATCCCTCATGGGACCTGTTACTGAGCGTAAGCTCACAAAACTACAATAGACACCCTAATGACATTAAAATACACATGGTGACAGTTGCTGAAACACATCTTCAATATACAGGTAACACCTTCTCTGCTAGTCTGCTTCACCATCTATGTTTACGGCAGGCCAGCCACAAGGATTGCCTTAAAGCTGGCTTACGATAAGGTTCTAGGAGCTTTATAGACAGTATCTCTCTGCACATCCATTAGGCATGTCCCTTGAGCTGCGACCTCGAATAACTCAACAATTAACCTCAGATAACGAAACTCTTGAAAGTTCGATGCCATCTCTCCCCGAAACTATAAGCCATTCATTACTACTAAATACCACCGGCCCTTTTAAATAGCACGTTTACTGGATCCTGAAAGAATTTAGATCAGGAAATAATTTAGAAAATGGGTTCAAGTGCGCTTCTGGCTTCCCATGATTTATAAGGCTTTAATTCTTTCAGAAAGTGTCACCAGGGCGTATCTTGAAGGGGCCTGCTGTTTTCTAGTGATTGTCTCACTGTGGCCCCCCACTATTGCTTCATTCTCGTTTTTCCGGGCCCTGTGCCCCCCCTGCTGCCTCGTCTCCTCTGCAGTGAGCTCGGAGGTCGGCCGGGCCGTGTGGCTGCGGTTCTCCCCGCCGCTGCCCTCCTCCGGCCCCCAGCCCAGCTTCATGGCGCACCTGTCTGGGGCCGTGGTGGGCATCAGCATGGGGCTCCTGATCCTGCGCAGCTACGAGGAGAGCCTGCAGCGCCAGTGCTCCTGGTGGGTCGTCATCTTCGCCTTCGCCACCTTCCTCCTCTTCGCCATCTTCTGGAACATCTTCGCCTACGAGCTGCTGGGGGTGCAGATCCCGCCGCCTCCGTAGATGGACGCCCCCCACGCCCCCCTCTCCTGAGCACACTCCAGCCAGGTAACTCCTCACGCTGCGGCCCATACAGCTTCAGCCTCACCCTCAGCCTAGCCGTGCCCGATTCAAAAGGGGCGAGGACACCCCTTGAGGTCATCATGTTCAGGCCCTACGAGAGGGGAGGCCAGCAGGGCCATTTGGCCCAACCCTCACTTCACAGGGGGCCTCACCTCAGCCCAGGGTGCCTGGTCCTCCACTTTAACCCTTTGGCTGTGTTTCTCGACTCGAGACGGATTTGGAACTTTTACCACATACTGTGATTCTTGACTACAGCTGTGAAAAAATGTCCCCCTTTCAGTGCTGAATCTCCCATTCTTTAGGAGTTTCGCAATGCCCGCCTTAATCTTCCCATCATGCCATCCTTTACATTAAAATAGTTTATACCCCTCTTCCCAAACAACGAGGGGGCCTCACAATGTGAAACGGCCCGGGCCTCATCTGAGTTCTCGGAGGACCTGGTCATGTTATATGCTAAATATTCTCAATTTCCTCAACCCTTACAACAGCCACCCACATTAGGAAGCTCTTATCGGAGTTTTCACCAACCACACGCATGCTCCTACTTTTGAGCCGAAAGCTCCTCTTCGCTGGTGAAGCGCACTCCCGACGAGAGCAGTTCTGTCCAGCTGGACGTGTGGCCTGGTGTATTTCTAACAAAGAAAGTCTAGTAACAAATCTTTCTTTTTTAAAAAATGAAGTGTTTTGTTTTTTGGGGATTGACCGCTTCAGGTGTTTTGGAACACCTAAGTAACACTGGTCTGTCCAACAATACCTCACTTCGTTATTTTTCTTCTCTCCCAGGGGGAAACAGAGTAGAAGACAAGTTGTGCGTTGAATACAGATGAAAATAACCTACACTGTGGTTATCCGCAGTCAGGAACTTCATTATTGCTCTATAGCTTGGAAAGGGGGGTTGTTAGGTCTTTTCATTGCACTTCTATTAAGCTTCTATTAGCACCACAGTTTAATTTGAAAGCGCTTTTATTTTCACCTCTCCATCACAGCTGAAGGTCTGAAAGTTTCAGCACACCAGGAACTGCATTCAAATTCCTTTTCAAGGTTTATTATCTAGTATATTATAGTAGAGTGCAGCAGAGCATTGAGAAAGCACGGTGAGACATTTTCAATCACAGTGAAAACGCAAAATGAGAAAGAATTACCTGAGCAGTGTAAATTGCTCCCCCCTCTGCAGTTTCACTAATGTGGCATTTTTTTAAAGGTTCTTCCCATTACCTGGCCTGATCGACTTTAGGAATCCACCCATCTTCAGCATCACTGGACCTCTGTTCCCAAGGGAGAAAAAAACCCCCATCTTGTTTAAACTCCACTGAAGCATCTTTTATTTAAAGAGCTCCCATCGCCTTCTCCCTTCCTCAATGGGATTGATGAAGCCCCTGGGACCCTGGTCTGCACCACTCCAGGCAGAGACAGACACGTAGGCCGAGGACCCTCACAGAGTCATCTCCTGCTCTCTGTGTCTTCGTGGGCGCAGGGGGCCTGCTCACACTGCCTGCACCACAGGGTCTCAATCCCGGGGACTGTACACATTTGTAAAGGAATGTCTGTAAGGAATATAACGTTGCCTTTTTTATGGTTACTGTTCATTCGTTAGAAACCTTTTCTGCTGGATTAAACCTTTTCTTTATTCTCAAAAACAAGGTGCATTTCCCCTCAGCCTTTCATCCCCCTGGAGTAACAAATTATTCACTTCTGCCCTGTGATTCCAAAACAGGGATCTTTCAGTTGAATTCTCAGAGTTACAGGTTTTGATTCAGCTAGATTGCGGTCTTATGAGGCCATAAGCAATCTGAATGAGATGATGCACAATTAATGAGCATGTTGTTCCTTCTAAGGTTCCTTTTTGGAAATAATGGGCAAGATCTCTACTTCATGTGCAGACGTTCTCTTGACAAGCATGCCTTTGGAAGACAAGTTCAGGTTTCTTCAGAATACGGCCCAAGTCAGTTGCTTATATAATGCTTTTTGATTGCTTTTGAAAACTAACCCATAAAGGAACCCAATATTTCCAGGTTACATTTAATTAAATCACTACAGCATTTAAGAAACAGGACTTCAGCATTCTCAAGTCAAAGTCTTTCACAAAAAAGGCACTGAATGTCATGATCCAGCCTTGCTTGTTAAAATTGTTTTGTTTCGTCCATTAAGCTTGTCTTTGCCTTGCCCTCATTACTATATATAGTCCTCTAGGACCGTTCTGAACATGCATACTGTACGTCTGAAATCAGACAGCAGTGACGCCAGGCTGGCGTCTCCAGCAGAACAGACATTTGCTTTGAATAGGAAAAGAGGGTCTTCTGTTGCCTTCAAGTTGTTCAAAGGCCAATTTATGTTTTTGTTAAAAACAAATCAGCAGTAGCTTAGAGACATTCAAGCTTCTCGTACCATATTTTCATCATTCCAGCTTAACCTGCGCAGTGCCAATAGTGGCATCAACTTAGGGTGCAAATGAGGTAGTAAACCTGGCATCACATGTCACATTTGGGGTCACAATTCTTTGGGGATCCTCAAGACATGAGCATCCGCTGTGAGGACATCAAACACAGTGACCTGTTGCCAAACAGCGGAAGCCAGGGCAAGTTGAGGGCATTGGTCCATCTTGAATGTCTTTTGCTCCAGTGTGAGCTGCAGTGGCATCACAAAATTAAAATGGTTTTGCCAAATTTAGAAGGAAAAGGAAATTGGAGGGGAAAAAAAACCATTATCTTTTGTTTTTAAAATGCTAAGGATAAAGACAAGCATTCCCATACCTTACTCAGATCTGTGAATCCGATCTATGCTGTGAAAAGCGAATGTGATGTCTACGTGTCTGGCCTCTGCATTTCCTACTGCCCTTCTGTGAAGCAGTGCTGTTGTGTCTTCAGGAATGCAGACCTTGTCTCTTTGTTCTCTCGTGGGGAGAGTTTGGCAGCGGTGTGCTGGAAAACTGTTGAAGGAGAACAAAATATGCCTCTTGGAGTTTTTCATTTGTTAATTTGCAGAACCACGCTTTTTATGAGAAGACATGGCCTTTGAGACTCTGAGTTGCCTTGTAGAATGCCTATATTAACTTTGCACTGTTCATTGTTTCCATGTACTCCCCACATATAAAAAAGAGATTTTCTAATATGGATGTTATAGATCATTTGTCCTCCTGCTTAAGGCTGTGGTGAAAAGGAAGAGTAGCATGACAAGTGAAGACCTGCTCACTGTCTGCTTGCCCTGGATGTGTATTCTTGCAGTCATGTCATGGTGCAGAGCTTCGTGGGTAGCAGGATATGCAGACTGACTGCTGCGTTGCGTGTATGTGGCCGGTATTGTCTAGTTTTGTGTCTTTAAGCATTTGCTCTTTTATTGGTGCACGTCTCTTCATTGTAGAGTTTTTAAAAACTACGTAGAAACTAGAAGTGCTGTCTGAGCAAAAAGGGTCTGAATTTCAAGGCTGCAGTGTATTGTTTCCAAGTCACATCTCTCCCAAAGCAAAGCCTGGCTTTGTCTCTGAATGATACACCATGTGTAAAACCACTCGTGTTTTTTTTCTTTTAAACAGTTCAATATTTGATTTTTTTTTTCTGCTGAGCCTCAGACTTCAGCGAACCTTCTCAAAGGAGAAGACGCTGCATCTGGAGAATTTGAGTTGAAGCACTGTCCACACAGTGCTGTGGCAGCTGTCCATGGTCTCTTGGTGTGGGCTTGGTGAAATCTTTAAGAGCTGATTAAGGATTTCACCAGGGGAGCCGAGGTTTCACAATAGAAGTGCCACACTTTACAATAACTAAATAGGTTATTGTGAAGAGTCTCTTCCTTCATCACCTGTCTTCAGTGTTGATGGACATGCTTCTCAGTATTATATGTCTTGTACAAGATCCTTGTACGAGATCTGAGTTGTGTTGAATTGATGATCTCCTGATATATAAGACATGATTGCTCACATGTTAGGAGGAGGAGAGCATGCTGATTCCAGCTGCACAAAAACCCTTCAACCCCTGATTACAGAGAAACAGAAGAAGACAATTTGTGATGCCAACGTCTTAAACCACGACACAGAAACGCTGGTGTGCTGAAGAGATAATGAAAATAATCAGAGTAAGGCAGGCTTCTTCAAATGGCTTCTCTAGCAAGCAAGCAGTGCTCACAGGCTTAAAAAAGTGGGAATTTTTTATCATTGTCTAAGAACAAGTCATATCTGATCTCGAAAGAAAATGAACACTGGGGAAGTATTCTTAAAGAAAAATGTTAACCAAGATTAAAACCTGCTGCATCAGAACCAAAACACTTCTAGTCTTTGAGCAACAAAGGGCTACAGACGTACAGCTTCTGGCCATGATATTAGGAATTGGCACAGGGCGTGCTGGCCTCTGTGAGCTACAGGAACAGTGTGAACAGAGCATTTTGGGAATTTATCCTGCAGGTGAAGTTGCTGTGAGGGCAGTGGTGTGTAGGATTGAATTCCATGTTCCACTGGTTCAAGCAATTTTCAGTACAGACTGAGGTCTGCATTCCTAATACTTTGGCCAGTGAATGTAGTAATGCTGAGACGATTAACACAGTGCTGATTGGCTTAACTGTTAACTTTGTTCAGATCTCTGATCAGAAAGTGTAGTGTGCTTGTTGCAGATGTTTCTCTGATGTTGCGCACAAGGCTAGCCTCTCTCTTTAGATCTCGCCTCCGATGGAGGAAATCTCTAATGTCTACGTTCAGAAACAGCTGCAGAGGGGCATCTGTAGGATGCTCAGCTGTCTCTTGTGGCTGCTCTGTCATTTTCTCAAGTCCACTCCCTGGCAGTCTGCGTCAGCTATGCTCCCTGGCGTAGTCTTTGATAACTGTGTGACTGTCAGACTTGACAAGCCTTTGTGTTCAAGACTAAGGGCTGCATCCGTAAAACCTGTAGCAGCAGTATCCCTGCGCATGTCTCTTTGTTAAAACTAAGATGCTCTGTTCCTTTTTACCTCACTGAGAAAGGGATGGAAAATACGACTGTATACGTTTTATTAATATTAAAGGCCGCAACTATCACTGTGCCAAAAATTATTTTCTCCAGGCCTGAACATTTGAGGTTCTAGGTGACATTTGTAATTTATATTTATAAGTGTTCCCTGGCTTTACCCTGTCTGTGCAGTGTTTACTTTACCGAGCTAGTTTCCCACAGTTTGTATTGTGTTTTACTGTCCCCCCAATGCTGTAACATGCTGCTAGCATGATTTTACTTTACCTTATTCTGCGTTTAGAAAGGTGGCCACGCTTCTTCATGCTGATGCGAGATTTAATGGAAAGGCCAAATGTCTGTTCCAATCTAAAGCTTACGAAAGCTGATACAGTTGGATTGTTCTAACTGTGGTGCTCTACATCTCTGTAGCACTGGTCCACCAATCATCACTGATACAAAGTCTAGCATAGTAGGCAGGTCCCAGTATAATGCACTTGCTGTGAATGTAAAAGTCATCAGGTAATCTGGTCATGTGACTGTTTGCTATTGTAGGAAGTACAACAAAGATAATTTTAATTTAGAAAAAAGGAATGGCGACTGGTGCTTTGTTTTCACTGCATGAAGAAGTGGAGCTTAAGAGAAAATCCCTCACTGAATATCAGGAGTCCTTGTTTAATTTTGAAAAGATGTGAGGGGATATGAAATGTACTGCTTGTTCTTTTATTATGAGTCCCTGGTGTCTGGAAGGATTGTCTTTTCCCTGATGCTCTTCAAGTAGTAATCTCTCGCTATACCAGCTCCTTCTGCAATGCCACACCCAGTAATCCAATAATCCACACACTGTATGTATCTGAAACTTGGTGTTCTGTTGACCTCTGTTCCTGCCACTCGAATATAATCAGAGGTGAATATTAATTTCAATTAGGAAAGAATGTTTGTGCTGGGTTTTGTGCTGCTACTTTTTAATATAATAAATATTCCTGTGATCACCCTTTTCCAGAGACTGAAACACTTGGAATTTAGAAATTGTTGCTCTCAAGAGTACTGTATACTATCTGTATTACATCCATTAAGTTCTCAGGCACTTCGGGTACAACCAGTCTGTTAGGTTAAAGTAAAAAGAATTAAGGCATTTTTTTAAAAAGATGCCATCGGTTCTCCTACTGGTTATGAGCCTGAAGCCGGTACCAATAGCAGTGTTGTAATGTAATTTCCTCAAAGTAAAACCACTTCAAGAACAACAGTTAATCAAAACGAAGATGTGCCTGATTGAAGCCCAGTCCGTACCCAATTGGACAAAGATCAACAGATCCTAAAACAGACACAAGGGAAGAGTTTGGAGGCTTAGCATCTTCAGTCATGGTGTGTTTTGCACAAGCAGGTGACATTTCCTGCAGGTTAACAGCTTGGTGTAAGCTGTTGTTGAGTTGCAAAGCTGTTCTGACTTACTCTCACGCCTGTGTTGTGTCTTTACTTTGTAAACGCTTGATTGAGCAGTGGGTTTGCTGCCAGAAGATCACTGTCAGCACTTGGGAGTTATGATGAAAACCTGCTGTGACCCTGGGGAGTATATCAAGGGAGGCCTGTGGCTGTTCGACCCCAAGTAGCTCCTCTCCCCCTAAAATCAATTGTCCTATTGCTAGTGAAACAGTCGGCCCTAGGGAACTGGAGGGCCAGCTTGTTCAGCAAAGTAGTGCACATCTATGTGCTCGCTCGCTTCCTGCAGATCAATCCCACCAGAAAAGGTCTCTGTGGCTTGAAATGTTTTCCAAGGTTTAAGTGGCTGTTTCTTGTAAGTGCTCATGTTTGTGGCTGTAATTGCTGAAAGAGAGAGACGCCAGTGTCACCCCATGACAGCAGCTTCTCAGCAATCTGAGACAGAGATCTTCCAAGGGCTCCCTTTAAGGTTAAGTAGTAAATAGTGGAGGTACGCTTTGACTATGATAAATGAGATGTGGTGTTATTAATATTATTCGATTATTACACTTTTGCCCAGGTTGGAATTTTCGACCCTTACCCGAAAAAGAAACACTTCCCAGGACTCTGTCTCTGTCAGCTCTCTCAGACTTTACTACATGAATTCACCTCCGTAGGATCTCAAGAGTCCCCACAGCCTGGTATGTGCAGTATCTTTGGCCTTGTCTGTCTCTGCAGACTCTGCTTTTTGTATATAATAGGAAAGCAGCTGTTCAGCAGGCGTGGTGCTAAAACAGCCAGTGGGGGAAATTGTTTCCCTCACAGTTGGTTTTCGGAGTCTTGTGGATAAGCACAGTCATTTGTTTTGACTCTTAAAGAAGGGTGGGGAGTATCTACAGTAAAAGCCTGTCGACTGTTGTGAATATCAAAAGCTGCTTGTAGCTTCCTGCGGTCTCATGAGTTGCTGCCATAGTACCACCTACTGGGGGAATATTGACTCTTGTTCACTACCAGTCCTGAAGACAATCCGGGCTGGTTTTAGATGGAGCCTTGTGCCCAAACCAGTAATGCTTTCCCTGACATTTTCCCGCAGGATTTCAACATTCGTCAGAATCAGGGCTTAAGCCGAGTTGAAAAAGGGACAGGGCTAACCAAGTTTGGGCCGATCCTTCCTCATTGCCCCGCTGCTGAGTTTTCAGCCAGCCTTAACACTGGATTCTGTGCTTGGTTATGCGTTTCTCAGTACGTCACAGAAGACTGATGTGTTTCTGCAGGGTTGATTGTGCATGTCATTTTCTCTGCTTGTTACTTTGGTCCTGCACGCTTCTAGAAACTTCTTGGAACAGATTTTATTCTCTATGTGCCAGGGAGTGATTTTCTTAGCTTCACAATGTAACTCTCAGCTCTTCGCAGCTGAAAAGCTGGGGATTTATTACTTAAATGCCAAGACCACCTTTACTCTGAAAGCATCCTAGTTGAATATTTTCCATACTGTAGATTGAGGATGTTCTGATGGGACTCTCCCGGGAACGTATATTTAATTGTAATATATTCGTTAAATAAACTGACATTGAAAATATAACCAAGCCACTGAAGAAACACTACAATGTAGTTCAAGTATTCCGTTTATCAGTGAAAAACAGATTATTTTCAGGGGAATGGTTGTGAATGGAATAAGGACTTTCTCTTGTGAAAATACAAAAACAGCTCAAGTATTTATAGAAACTCCCTTTAGAATCGGGACCTTCCTACAGGTTATTTTCATGATGGGCAACTGTTGTTCTTATTTGACACAATTGTCACACCGTACATCTTACACGGCTTGTCTGAAAACATAGTAGCATCCTTATAAAATGCAGCAGCTGGAATTACCTGCAGTGTGTGTAAAACTGAAGCAGATCAATCCACTACACAAGGGAGGTCTGGCCTGTTTCCCTGATTGCAACTGCGCAATTCAATCCAACACCACAAGTCAACATCTTCATTAAAACAAATCCTTCTGAATGCAGGTACAGAGTTCAGCACAGCCCAGGGTGAAGGCAGGTCACTGAATTCCTCATCTCCCTGTCCAACGCAATACAAATAGCCAAGAAAAGTCAATAAATAAATAGATAAATATTGACTGTTTAAAGCAACCAAATGCTTGTCCACCTCTTATCAAAGACTTATTTGCTGAAGCTTTTCAAAGGTTAACTGCTGTGAGATTACAGCGAAAGAAAAGATTGATTCGCTCTGGAAGACAGGCCAGACCTGTTTGGCGGGCAAGAAATCATCCACACTCTGCTTTTCAAAGTTGGTTTGTTTTCACAATCCAAGTTATTGCCAAGATAAGAGGGGGAGGAGAACAGAAGGATCTCCCCCCCCCCCCCCCCCCCACCTCCTGCTGTAAAAAAACTTTATTTTTCTCTGGGTCAATTAAGAAAAGACAAATGAAAACAAAAATATATTTATGTAAATAGTTTCTATTTAAAAACAAATCTATGCTTATGATTTCATGACTGTAACTGTACTTTTTAAATGTTCAAAACTGAACTATTTTATATTGTATATATATTTTTTTCTTTTGTACTGTTCGTTGTACTTGCTTTAATTTGGGAACATTACAATAAAGTCGGCACATGTGGACTCATTTCCTCCATGCCTGTGACTTTGTACTATCCCCTTTGCTTTGCCGCCTCTTTACATTGGCCCTGGTGTGAGTGTGAGTTTCTGTCTGTGTCTGTGTGCTCTGTGATGGACTGGTGTCCCATCCAGGGTGTATCCCGCCTTGTGCCTGTGCTTGGTGAGATAGGCTCCGGCCCCCCTCAACCTTGAATAGCAGAAAGCAGATAGAAAATGGATGGACAGAACTCAAGAGCCATGAGGGCTGAACTCCACTGCTCAGAGGCCTGTCTGCTCCACTCCTGTGACAAGTGCCACAACTTAAATGCACCACAACCTCTTCAGGCCCGCTAATGTGAGAAGTCTCTGCTGCCAACTGGTACAAAAATATCCTATTGCCCAGCTGCCAGGGCCAGAGGTTATTTGGGAAAGCCTTACTCTTAACAGATTGAGCTGGTGTCAGGAGCACCACAATAAAGGGTAACGTACCCCTCAAGTAGCAGACATGCACATCGGTCGGCTAACAATATAGGTTTATTCATTGTGGTTTTGTAAATTGTGCCCATTGCATTGCTGTTGCTGTAGGACTGCAGCAGTATCAATGAACCACTTGCACCACACTTTTGAAAGCAAAAGAAATGTCGAGGCTTTTTGGTGCACAAACGTCTTTTATTCTTGGTGAATTTCTTCCATGCAAACACAAGTCATTCACAAAACATCTGCATTTTCTGTACGTCAGCACTCCCTATCCTGAAGCCCTGGTGTGTTATACAGAGGCTTCTTTGGAAGGAGCAGAGTCCTGCTTGGTTTTCCGTCTCTTGACTGAGCTGCCACTGGGCTCAGACTCCACAGCTGGCCTCTTCTCTCCCGTGCTGATCCCCTCCATTAGTGACGGCTGCAGCTTCTGGCCCACGGCCCAGGTCCACAGACACAGTTCCACTGAGTGAGGCGTCCAGTCCTGTCTGCTGTCCACTGCAGAGAGACAGGACACTGCATGGAGACCCCTCACACACTGACTTACTCTCACCTTCACCCCACAGAATGTCCACTAAGGTTAAATCCTTTGCGTCACTATTGGGCCCGGATAAAATCAAGATTTCCCCATCAACTTAGAGTTCCAAAACCCAGGGTTGGATGCTATGTTTCTCTTGGACAGAAGTAAGAAGTCTCTGGCCACCATCAAGCACAGGATGTATTGTGATCAGTGAGTAGATCCAATCCAGGCCTGAGGTAAGCCCACTGGACCTTCATCTTTATCATCCATATTATTTGTCCTCTCCTTGACTTCGGTTTCCACAAATAATTACACCTTAAACACGCACCCGTGACTGCACCTTGAAGCTGTAGCTCAAGGTATCTGCAGTCAATGTCAAGGAGATTTAGGCAAACGCTCTCTCGGCTGAACACACCAGACAGATTGCTAGTAGGACAAGGTTGCAGATCTGCCCAGGCGCAGTCCAGCTTAGCTGAAGGACAGCCTGATCGTGACAGCAGGAGGGTCCATGGCCTGCATTTATAGCCATGATGTTGGTATTGCGATGCGTGCAAGGGGGAAGGGTGCTGGTAGCTGTCGTCTCTGATCCAATCATCAGTTTCCAAATTTCACCTAACCAGTTCCCGTCCAAAAGATGAATCTGCTCAACAAGTAAAGGCGTTTACTCCATGCTTTGTCTACAGACATCGTGGCTTCGAGCCCAGGTCATGTCACTAGCTAGCTGAATAAGCCCAGGATTCTCTGAGTAACACCACACAGGTGGCTCAGCACTGCCAGGGGTAAGGTGGGGTGGGATGTCTCGGTGAAGGTTCCTAGAGAAGCGGTGAACCCCGAGGCTAGCGGTGATGTCAGTGAGGGGCGTGCCTCTACTCCAGTCGGCACCGACCCTCCTGCGTGACCCTGCAGCACTTCTAATGGGCCGAATGGCTCAAGGGAGCCTGTCTGCACAGGTGTCATCTCTGTGAGCCAGCCTGACCCCAGGTCAACACTGACGACTCCAAATTATTGAGTGAGCATATGATAAAAGACAATTGTTGTTCTTTAAATTAAAAAAAAATGGAATTCACAAGTCACAAAGTTGGAAATGCGGTCATCGACCCTGTGACTTCATCCCAGTTCCTCAGCCTGAGCGAAATTCTCCTTCCCCCTTCTCTTACACCACCAGGTAAGTGCCATCTTACCTCTGTTGAGCGCGCGAGCTCGTTCCGACACCTTGGCCAGGTACAGGGCATAGTGCTTCCCGGTGTACTGGATGGGAGTGAGTCCAGGGACGCTCTCCACGGATTCGTCGGCCATGAAGGCAGCCTGGTCGGGAGCTCCGGCCGCCAGAACCGCTGTAGGGAAGGAGAGGCGGGTGGGGGCATCAGAGTTGGCACAAAGGGTGAAGCTTTCATTTAAGAATCGATATAACGCCAAGGAGACATTCTGCTCTATTTAAAGGCCCAAAGGAGGCTAATCCCCGTTTAACAGTTTAGGCAGGTACCTGCGCCAGCAGGCGTAGGCTGCAAAGCAACAATTTCATTGTGCAAAGAGAAGGCTCCACAGCCAAAACGTTTTGTTTCTTTTCTTCTCTTTTCAACAAGTAAATAAACCTTTACTTGTTCCTTTGTAATCCAAGTTTAGGCACAGGCAAAGGCTCATTCCATGTTGAAACGTAAAGATAGGAAACACTATGTCACTACGTGTGACACCTGAAAAAGGCTCCACAGCCCAAACGTTGTGTTTCTTTTCTTTACGTTTCGGCATGGAACAAACCTTTACTTGTTCCTTTGCAGCCTGCGCATGCTGACGCAGCTCCCCACTCGGAACGTCCTTAGATCTATAACTAGAACCTCGTTTAGACTTAAACGTTTGTGTTTTAAGCAATTGCAGTTGCCAATCAAAAAAACACTCAACTACCAGCCCTGCTCAACTGTTGGCCCATTTCCCTCCTAATTAACACACTGGGAAGTTGGCAGCTCGGCCACAGAAAGAATGCAAAGGAACAAGTAATAGGTTTATTCCATGCTGAAAAAAAAGAAGAGAGGAAACACAACGTTTCGGCCGTGGAGCCTTCTTCAGGTGTGAGAGAGACAAGGCAGTAGGCAAAGGTGAGAGAACAAAGGCTGGGAGGGAGGAGGGGTGAGAGGCGGACAGCAGGGGACAGGGGACAGCAGGGGACAGACAGAGAGGCCAATCAAGAGGTGTGAAGTCAGAATAGGTGTCGAGAGGTGTGAAATGAAACTTACAATGAATGGAGAAAATTTAGTAGAATAGTAGTCTGTCGTTAAGAGGGAAGGTGTGATCCTAGCTGCAGGATAAGTTTGGTTTCGGTAGTCTTTCTGATGTATGAGTTTGGAAAACCATCTTTGAGAACACAGAAGGAGAGATTAGAGTGGCCGTGGCCATCAAAGGTGAAATGAGAAACAATGGGCTTGGAGAGATCTTTAATCTTCACAGCCCTGACGTGTTCTCTGAAGCGGTCTCCAAGTCTCCTTCCTGTTTCACCAATGTAGTGAGAAACTGGGCATTTACTGCAAGAGATACAGTAAATAAGGTTGCTGGAGGTACAAGATGCCATCTGGGTGATCCGGGAGAAATCCGGGAGAACACAGAAAGAATGTTCCATTTGAAAAGCCTCTGAGGGATAATAACTCACGCATCCCTGCGGCGCAATTTACTGTGTGTGCAGCCCTATTGCGTTCCACTGCTTATTGCAGCGGCCTTGACTGGCCGGACTGTAGCTCGCACCAGGCTCCTGCGACGAGGGGGCTGACCTGAGGCTGTGGCCGGCCCCACGGCCTTCAGCGAGCTGAGCTCAGCAATGGCCGCCCGCGTGTCTGGGAGAAGACCAAAGGCTTTCCTGGTGCACCGCTCCACTGCGTCACTGGGATTCGTGGCCACCAGTTGCTGCAGCCTCGGCCGGAACTTCCCTCTCTGCAGGCAGAGGGCAAAACCAGAATCGGCCAATGTGGCAACACAAGCATGATCTGGAGTCTCCACTTCACCAAGCCGCCACATCAGGGGAAGGGGGGGGGAGAAAATCAGACCACCCGCTGAAATGTCACATGAACATAGGGAAGACCACGCACACTCCACAAAGAGCCCCAGTCTGGAACTGAACCCTGTGCCAAGAGCTGTGAGGCAGCATCATGCCAACTCACTCATCCCTTGGCACACATTTCAATCAATTAGCCTTAATTCATTTTACTTAACATAAGAGCCAGTTAATATCCTGTATGTCCACCTGTGTGTCTGTACTCCCTGCAATCCACTAGTGTCCCATACAGGATGAAGTTCATCCTTTCACCCTGTGCCTTCTGGGCTAGGCTATCGCTCCCACAACCTTAAGGTTAAAGTGGTTGTGAGCGAATACTGGATGGGAGAAAAACAATGATAAAGGATGAAGATGTCGACGGACGCTTAAGTTTCCTGATACAGAGATCTCCTCGTTACTGCTGCAGGATTCAGAAAACTGGCGAACACGGCCACCCCCATCCATCGTTTCTGAACCGCCAATCCAATACGGGAATGGTCTCTTAAAGGATATGTCAGTGGCTCACAGCTGGCCAGCAGATTTCACCTTCCACTCTGCAGCGATTCATTTCGTGCACATTAATTAACAGCCGCTACTTTTCTTTGAAACCGCTCTCTTGGTACAGCCCGTGCCCTACAGCTTTAACTCGGTGACTCCACCTGTGGACCGGCACCCAGGTGATCAAAAGCAAGCATTGGGAATCTTCTCCTACAGGGGTTGGTTTCTGGCAGTTTAGAGCAAAATTCTAGCGAGCCGTCAGCATTGTCCCTACATTGCAGGGTATGAAGCTAGTTGGACTTTTTTTTTACTTTCATTAGCTATACGACTGTCAAAACGTAAAAGCAGAAGGAAAGGATGTCTCTAATGAGTCACTGCCACTACCTAAAACCTACAGGAAGGGAATCAAGCATATTGTGTGGGCGTAGCAGGTGTCAGATAGCAGAGAGAAATCGCAGCGATCCCCAGGCTAAAGAAAACCGATGAACTCTTCAACAACATTTATTCACTCGTGGTCCCTTGAACCACTTACCTGCTGTGTTCAATCAAGAGGTAAGAGAATTCCTGAGGCAAACTGGAGGGCAGACTTTAACAACCTTCACCAATTCTTTGTCGATGCTGACTCCCTCTCTGACTGGACACTCACCGTCAGCTTCCACTCCATCAGTTTCACCAGCTCCAGGTGCTGAAGGAAGGGCTCCGGTCGACTCGCTATGGCTGCCGGTAGCTCTTCCTGGTACCTGCGGAGGCATACAACCACAGAGGAAGAACCCCTGAAATCACCTCCACTGGATTTGCCTTTTTAATGAAACAGGCCCAAACGTCCACCCACCCCTTGATGTTTCCACCAATTCGCTGCATTGCTCCCACACACAGCAACAGTGACGGCATCAGTTTCACCCCATAAATGGTAAGGTGATGTGCGAGCTGCTGAAACCATCACATTAAACTAATCAGGTTTAAAAACCTGATCTCTGCTGTACAGTGCAGCTGACTATCCATAAATACTGTGTCCTTGCATGGATAACAGAAAGCTAACAGGCATCAGAGCCAGATAAGTTACAGACAATAGCATAGCAGCAGCATGCTAATAATGAGAAGCAAGGAACTTCGCTACTTCATGGTGACATATCAAAAACTGAAGTAGACTGTGGAGTACATAACTGATTTATATGATATTAAAAGAATACTAGAGGGATGATGATAGACTTTCATGTTGTCTATAAGTGATGATGCACTTATGTTCACGATTAACTACTTGGTATCACATAAGTATATCCACAGCCGTAGCAGTCCGGTCTGAGCATTTCTTCACCGACAGGCTCAAACAGCAACTTGCCATTTTTCCAGGAGCAGCAGTTTGCCCTGCTTTCGGTTCTTCCCCGCGGACTTCAGCCCAACCACTTCCCAGTACTGGTCGAGGACGGCTCTCCAGACGGTGGGGTCCTCACAGTCAAACAGTCCCCCGCGGGGAGGCATGAGAGCCGAGGGCTGAGGAGGAGAGGACACCTCAGCTCCCGGAGCCAGATCCAGGGGAGAGCTTTCCCCCACACACACGGCACCGCTCAACTCGGCCATCTCCCACCCGGACCACTACAGCGTATGTCTTCCATTCTCGACAGAAAAAAAAGGTGTCCTAAAAGATCAACGGATGCAAACCCATTTTTTTTTTGTCGGCAGATTAGACTTTGTTATAAAACTAGAAAACCTTTTTAGAAGGCTTTGCAAACGTCGTCGGATCTCTCAAAACTTTCTTCCTTTGCGACTCTGGGGACATTCAATTGAATGTGTGGCACATTAGTTAAACGTGAATATTTTGAAGCACAAAAGCACTGTATTAGTGATCACAACAATGGTCACATGTTCCCTTACATATAGTGAAAAGGAAT